GGCCTTTTAAAAATTCAACAATAGACACAGTTCCAACTTTTTTCCTGTTCACCTGGGGTTAGTTGACTGATGAGTCACATCCTGGGGGGGAAAGATTCCCCCTTAAACGGCCAAACATATATTGTTCCCCGCGCGTGGGCCCCCCAAAAATTTTTTGAGAGAAAAAAAAAATCTTTTTTAAAAGGAAAAAAGAGCATATGGTACCCAGGCATCCCCAATTATTTTAATATGGCGCACAGTGAGTGGCCCCCATTCTCTCATGTCTAGGGACTCAGGCTTATCGTGGCAATGTTAAAAGAATACAAAGAAAATGTATATATACATTTGGGGCACTCGCCTGAACGTAAATACGTTTGGACCTTTTAAGGGTTAAAGGGCCCCAAATGGAAATAATTTAGCAGTCCCGATGACTCACTGACTTTTTGGTTTATCTTGGGTGGCAAACCCCTCGGGGGTTTTAATTTTTTCAAAGAAATTGTTTTCTTTAAGCCACCAACAACAGTTCTCCAATTTTTGAGTAGTACAGGTGACGGTGGTGCAGCAGCAGCACCCTAACCGTTTTACGATATATTTCGATAGTATTTCTCACCCTTTTTATCACAGGGTTGGCCTAAAGTTTTTTTTTGGGGCCTATGGTGGGCTTTTTAGCAGTTACAAGCACAAAAACAATGGAATAATACAAAATGTATCAAATGTATGCATGAAACCACCCCTTGCTTGTAAAAAATGAGGGAAAGGCAGCTGAGGCTCAGGGGGGACAGAGGTTCGGGACGAATCACACGGGCATTTTTTTATCATTAGACAGCCAAAAATTTTTTATGTTCAAACCTTTCGTTGGGCGGTTTTAAACTTATGGATACGTTCATTACCCGGGGTCCACTGTAAATTTTAACCTTTAACCCTTTACACTGCAGCGGGGATTATGTCAAAGCAATTTATTTGACACTATCTTAGCTGGATGCATACATTCAACACCAGGGGAAAGCTAAAGGGGGGGAAAATGTATTGAGGGGGGGGGAAAAGGGGGAAGGGGGAAGGGAAAAAAAGAAGGAAGAAGGGAAAGGGAAGAGGGTAAGAAAAGGGGAAAGGGAGAAGAGAGGGGTAGGGAAGAGAAAGGGGGAGGGGGTTTGGGGAAAAAAATGGGAAGAGGTTGGGGAAAAGGAAGGGGGGTAGGAAAGGAACCTAGTGAGGAGCAGGGGGGAAAAAGGGGATAAAAGGGCAGGAAAGAATGACAGAGGAAGAAAAAAAAAAAGAAATAGGCTGCCCAGTTTTAGTGCTGGTGTCACTGTGTTGAATCTGTCTTTTAACATTCCTGCTTGCAATGCCCACTTTACCTCCACCAACAGGTACCATACTAAAATAATTTTTTCGGGTCATTTCACTCTGAAGCGAATCTAAATTGTTTATTAAGCAAATAAAAGGGTTTTTCAGTTTGGGGGTAGAGTTCATGGGGGGGCCACTGACACCTGTATGCAGGCACCTATATAATACTCCTTACTTGTTCCCCTTCATGATTTTTATCAATTAATTTCATTATTTCTGTATTTTCTGTGAGTTTCGGTAAGTATTTTTATTTTTTTTGGGTGTGTAGCAAAGGGGTGCAGGATCCATGCTTCAATGAGCAACAATTAAAAATACTCTTTTATTTTCTGAATTTATCAATGTGACTTACCTACAATCCTCGTCAAGGGTTGGGTTGTTCTTTTCACAGTTACAATAACTGCACATATGCTGGGCCAAAATCAAGAAAGGAACTACCAAAAGGGGGCTTTTCTTTCAAATAAAACGATCATCTGAAAAATATATGGGAAAGGTGTTTGGTACTAATTATTGGAAAAGGATAAATTTTTTTAATGGGCGTAAGATTTTGATTCTAGCTGTTATCTATCTATCTATCTATCTCCCTAATATATCTTTCTCTTATCCTCTCTCTCCTCTCTCTATATTAATATATATAAAAATATAAAAATATATTTTTTTTAAAAAATCGGTCGCTCCCCCGAATACAACAGTTTAGAAAAACATATACGTATAAAGATACACAACATATCCTCCAAACTGCCCAAAATCCCAAACCCCTCCTTTAAAGGGGGGCATTGACTTCCTTTTCCAGGACCAAGTCCGACTATAGAAAAAAAACCGGGTTTCCCCGAAAACCCCTTTACTAAAATTACCCGCTCACACTCCCCAATGTCAGGTCCAAGATCATTCGCTCCATTCACCCTATCTAAACGCTCATCACGCTTTCTGGAATCAAAACCCCTCGCCCACAAAACCCCCTTACCCCCTTTTTCCAACCCTTTCGAGGCAACCCCTTACTCCTCCTTTCCCTTCCCCCCATAGATTTTATTGCTTTCCATGTCATTCTACTTTTATCCATTTTCTCTAAATGACCAAACCACCCCAAAAACCCCTCTTCGCCCCCGACTAATGCTTTTATTAACCCCCACCTTTAATTTCCACACTCCGAATTTTTCATAAATTTCACCAACATTTCCCTTTGCCCGGGACACCCCCACTGCCTCCAACCGTCTCCCCGCGCTGCTTTCCACCCCAAACTTCACATCCAAAAAGAGTGTTTGGGACTACTATACTTTCATACTTCCCCTTTTTTGCCCCCTAGATAAGTTTTTTGACCCCTTACCCCAACCACCACCGGCTTTTTTTTTCCCTTTATCAATTCTATGATTAACCTCACCCTTTATAAATCCCTCCGCTGACCTCAACTTCCCAAATACTACTGAAAACATTCACTTTTCCCTTTTCCTCCTCCCCAATTTTTATATCCTATTTTTCTTTTTTAAACCCTTTGATATCCTATCACCTTACCTTTTCTGGTTCACTTTTTAACTTTTACCCCCCCACTCCCCAAACTCGTCCCCTAACCTTTGCAATTTTCTTTTGAATCTCCCCTAACACAGTACATCAGAAAAAATAACTGTGTCAATTCCCTTTTTGAAATTTTTTTTCCCCCTAATTTAATCCCACCCCTCCCCGAACACCCCAGCATTTACTTCTTTTACAACCCCATCTATAAATATAACAAACCACCATGGTGACATTTGCTCCTGTCTAAGATACTTTTACCCGGGAAATAGTCCCCCTTTTCTACACCACTAACTTGAGCCCCACTATCCTCATAAAAATCTTTTCAGCATTTAGTAATTACCCCTATTCCATATACTTTCAACATCTGCCACATTCTCCCCCATCCACTCTCATCAATGCCTTTTCTAAATCCTAAGCAATAAAAACTTTCCCCCACCTTTTTCTAAAACTGTTCACAATAAATTTCTTCAATGTAAACACTGATCTCACATGCCTACCCCCCTCTAAAACCCCTTGCTATCTGCAACCTGCTTCTGTCTTACCTCTAATTCCTGGTATCCTCATAAACTTATTCCTCTATAAATTTTTTTAATCTCTTTTGGGCCCCTTCTCTTATAAGAGGGACTATAATTCTCTGTCAATCCCTAGGTACCTTCCCTCTTTTAATCATTTATTAAAAAAAATACAACCCCTCCAAAACCATATTCTCCCTTTGCTTTTAAAAATTTCTGTAGATCCTGTCATTCCAGCGCTTTACCCCCTTTATCCCCTTTACTCCCCCACATCACATCCTGTTTCTTCACTCCTACAAAATGGAATACCTCCCTGGGCCCGTGCAGAAAATTTCCCCCCTCCCTTCTTCGTCGACATTTAAAAGTTTTCCTTTAAAAAAATTCTCGCCCTCTACTAATACCTCCCTCTCCCCATCTACTAACTCCCCACTCTGTTTTAATGACAAAAACCATTCGTTCCCCAAGCTTTCTTAACTTGTTTAACTCACCCCAAAATTTTTTTTCCTTATTTTTATTAAAAAATTTTTTGACAGTGCCTCCCCATCTATCATTGCTCTCCTTTGCACTCTCTCCCCCACTTCCCTTTACCCTTTCTTTTTCTCTCCTATATTTCCTTGTATAACCGTCTGCTTTGTAAAAAACCTTTTAAGCTCCTTTTTCCCCCATTCCACCAAACACTCCTCTTTCCCCCGCCCCAACCTGAAAAGGGGGGAAAAAACAATCCCGCACTTTAAAAGGAAGGGTTTGGGGTGTTGGCTGTTTGGGGTGACATCTAAACGTTGTTCTGAGCACCTCTGCAAAGACGTGATTTATGTGAAAATTTTGGGAAAGTACTTCTTTTTTTAGGGTCATCCTGCCCTTTGGGGAAACCACCCACGGTTAAAAAAAAAAAAACCTCCTCCTAAGTGGTGGTGTGTATGGTGTTAATCACCCCACTAAACCTAATTTCCTTTTTTTTTCTGATTCTTTTATAAAGTAAACAAAACAAATTGGGGGTGCAACAAAAAAAAAAAAAAATTTAAATGGTCCAGGGCTAACGCGACGGGCTGGGGTTTTGAGACTCTGTGACCCCGGGTTTTAAACCCCCCGTGGATGGTTTGCAATGATTAGTTTCTATAATCCATCTTGAAGACTAACAGACAGAAAAAGTAAGGCAATGCATCTGTATTAAAAAATAGAAAGCATTCCCAAACAATTTTTTTGACATACCATGTGATTTTCAGAAGACAGATCCAGATTTACCACCCCGGCTTCCCCGAGAAACCCCCGGGGAAAAAGCGTATGAAAATTCATCCCCAAAAGGGAAATTTCCATCTTCGAAGCTGTCGAAAGTGCTCAGCAAAAAATATCTGTGAAAAAACCCAAAGAAAAAAAAACTCAATTATTTTTCCCCCTAACAAGTAGAAAGATACACAATACTAAGAGTGGTGCCTTTTAAAGACAATAGAGCATTGTGTCATTCAATAAAATTACTGAAAACATACGAAAGCACATTTCTGAGACTTTCACTAGGGTTTTGACTTATAACACTAAGATTAGAGCATATCCATTGGCAAAACTCTGGCTAGATTTTAATAAGATTACAAAATTTACCATTACTAGCCAAGATAATTAATCTAGTGTGATTTTCATGATTTTTTCAAATAGGTTAGAAAAAAATCGAGTTAAAATGGCTGAATTTAAGTAGGGCTGTAATTTTTTCTTCCCAAAGCAAGAATTTTTTTTTTTTTTTTTTTTTATTTTAAAATTTTTTTTTTTTTTTTTTTCCCCTTTTTAAAAAAATTTTTTTTTTTTTTTTTTTTTTTTTTTTTTTTTTTTTTTTTTTTTTTTTTTTTTTTTTTATTTTTTTTTTGTTTTTTTATTTTTTTTTTTTTTTTTTTTTTTTTTTTTTTTTTTTTTTTTTTTTTTTTTTTTTTAAAAAATATTTATTAAAATTTTTTTTTTTTTTTTTTTTTTTTTTTTTTTTTTTTTTTTTTTTTTTTTTTTTTAAGGGTTCCAGGGGTTGTTGGGACCAATTAGTATGTTGAAAGAGATTTGGTAATAAGTTTTAAATTTTAAAAAAAAAGAAAAATAAATATACAAGGTTGATGTGCATTATGAAAGTAGTTTGTTTAAATTTTATTTATAAAAGTTGTGGGTAGGTCCCGGATTTCATTTTAAGAGGGGCAACTGTTATCGGGCTTTTTATTAGCTAAATTTAATAAATATTGGAAAAGGGGGAATGGAAAATAAGTAAAGGGGGTAAGGAAAAATGGAGAAATTTTTGAGAAAAACGAAAATTAAAATGGGAGTCAAAATAGAGTGGGGGGGGTTAAATTGGGAAAAGTTAAAAATCAATAAAAAATGGACAAATTTTTTGAGGGTGGGGGGGGAAAAAAAGGGGTATTTAAAATGAGAAAATAAAAGGGGTGAAAAAGGAAAAAATAGCTTTTAAGGTTTTTAAAAGAGAATGTTATAAGAAACAATTATGGAGATAAAAAAAATAAGGGATGGTGAGGATGAAAAGGAGAGAGGTGATAAGTGGGGGGGCCCCCCAAGAAATTTTAAATGAAATAAGAAAAAAATTTTAGTGATTAAAAATTAAGAAAGCCCTAGGGAAAAAGGATTTTTCATTTAAAAAAGGAGGGAAAGTTATAGAAGGGGAGAGTGGGTATTAGGTAGATGACGGGTATTTTGAGGGGAATTTTAAAAATTTTAGAAAAAGGGGGCGGAATTTTTTTGACGGTCAAAGGGATACCCTTTTTGATTAAGGAAAAAAATGGGTTTTGGGAGGAGGAGGGAGGATTTAGTGAAGAAAGGGGGTAAAGAGGGAACTGAGGGTCAAGCAGAAAAGTTTTAAAAGAGGGGGGATATAGGTTGAAATTGGTCTTTTTTTTTTTTTAAAAAAAACAAAGGGGGAGGATAGGGGGGGAGAGCATGTAAGTTTTTAAAAAAAAAGGGGGGAAAAAGAGTGTAAAAATTTTAAAAAGGAAAAGTTTATTGAGTTACCCAAAAGGGTAGGGGGGGTTTAAATTTAAAAAATTAGGGAAGACAGAATTGGATTTTCATGGAAGGGAAGAAAAGGGGAAAGGGGATTTAGATCAAAGGGGTTTCATTTAGTAATGGAACAATTTTTAAGGGGGAAGGTTTTTCTGCTTTAAATTTAGAAAAAGGGATAAATGAGGGATAGGAAAAAATGTGGGGGAATGTTGAAATATTGGAATTGTTTTTAAATGCGAAAGAAAGGATAGGAGGCCAGGTTAGGTGTTAGAAAAGGGAAAGGAAAAGAGGTTTAAAGGGATGTTTATGTCACCATGTTTTGTTTAAAAATTTAAGAGGGGGAAAAAAGTAAATGCTTTTGGT